GTGGGAGGCGGGAGAATCCTTTCAACTTTGGCAAAAATATTAACTCACGGTTTCACTGATTACATTTAGGTGGTCGAAGGACAAGGTCACGGTGGCCTCACAAAACATGTTATTTGTCTCTTGAACATGATAACTCAAGTCTGCACTCAGGAAATTATTTCAAATGGTCACTTGGACTCAAAGATTAGCTGATTAGATTTCAGTGGTCAAAGGTCACGGTGACCTCATATTATTGTGAATGCAATATTTTAGGAGCCCTTGAAGGGAAACGGCACTGGTTGGTGGAGGCATACAACTGTAGGGTTATAATGTTTAAGTTTTTTTTCTGTCTCCCCAGGATAAAAATGCTCTTCATCTTTACTCTGTGAATGGAAAGCACCTCTGCAGTGAGCCTCTGAAGGAGCAGGTGACTGATGTGTGTGTGTCAGGAGAGTATGTCGTCATGGGCAGTGAGCAGGGATACCTCTCCATCCGTGACCTCTACAGGTAAACCTCTAAACTTGAAGTGTTTATCACTAGTCAAATTTTCACCTCATTTTGGAATTTACTTCAGCTCTAAATTCTGTTCCTCCTGTTCAGTCTATCACTGTGTGCGGAGCCCATTGCCATGCGGGTGCCGGTGCGTTGCGTCTCGGTCACCAAGGAGCAGAGCCACATCCTGGTGGGTCTGCAGGACGGCAAGCTGATCATTGTGGCTGTGGGAAAGCCAGCGGAGGTAAAGAACTCGCTGAGGAACTACATCGCTCAAAGCCTGGAGGGTTCGCCACTCATGGCCTCCCCCCTGCTGGCCCCGCTACGAGCTCGCTCGCCAACGCGCCTGCTGCACCAGCGCGACCAGCTGGTGTTCAGCCCCACTTGCAGCTCACAGAAACGCTAGTCCTAGTTCCTGTCCCCTTTTAGTGCTGTAGGGCTGTTATATATATACACACACACACGTATACACACACATGTATACACAATTACCTCTCCTCAGGGATGGTTATCACCCACAGTCATTGGGCTTCACTGCTCTCTTACCAAACCACACACACACTCTTGTGTTTCTATAGTTGTGAGGGCACTCACTGACAAAATGCATTCCCTTGCCCCTGACCCTGTGGTGGAGGAAATACTCAAATATTTTATTTTCATAAAAGTACAAATAATTAGACAAAATGTACTGATGTACTTACTACTGTAAGTAAGGACTTGCTGCAGCAGGAAGTGGGGTCTTATGTCATCTGCCCACTCTGATTGGATCAATGGACCAGTTGCCCCTTATTGATTACTTGAACATATAACGTAGTTCATTGTAAATATATTGTGGTGTAGAAAGTACAGACATTTGCTGATATGTTCAGTAGAGTGACTCCTTAAGTGAAATACATAAAAAATGTACTAGAGTACATTAACAAATAAATGTACTTTGTTACATCCCACCACTACCTTCATCCTAACTTTGACCGTCACAACTAAATGTCTTAACCCTCAAACAGCCCTTGTGAGGACCAGCCAAACTATCCTCAGCATGTCAAAATGTCCTCATAGCGACGGTTTTGAACCAAAATTGGCACTCAAAACTCAGAAGACAAATACACACACACATTTTCACCTGAGCCACACAGATTTAACACATTCCTTCAGCACACAACTGAGCAGTCGCTACTCGAACCACAACTGTGATATGAAAACTTGTTGCGTTTACCTCATTCTGTTTTTTTGGAGTTGTTTTTTTAACAGCATCTGTGCAATATTTGACTTGATTTGACCATTAACCTGGGATACTCCCATACTGTTTACCTGAAGTGTCTCTATGTTCCATGTCTGCTCTTCGAACTATAACAAATATGCTGTGAAACAAATGTAACACTAATTAACGCTTCTGCAAACTCAAGCCATATTAAGAGTGTAGCTACAATCTAAATAATGCAACCTAATAATCTTGCGCCAAGTTAGTCTTGATTGTTTTTTAATGTAAATAGTGTGTTGGTGGTGTAGATGAATGACGTTCCCCCTCTCTGAATCATCGCACCTTTTCATCTCCCCCATTCAAATCAACCCACACAAAAGTCAGTCAGGCTTTTGAGGCTTTTTTTCCTTATTGCCTCACAAAGTCGATCAAACCCGAATGAACAAACCAGTCACTCATGACTCATATCCCTCCTCCCTTTTTTCCCCTCCTCTCCTTTGACTTCATGCTTTTCTTTCTCCACTCCCAATTCCTCCTCCTCCTCTTCCTCTTCCTCCACTCTTCTCAGATGCGTTCGGGCCAGATCACACGGAAGCTGTGGGGCTCCAGCAGGAGACTGACCCAGATCTCTTCAGGGGAGACTCTCTACAATACCCAGCACGACCACAACTGACCCATCCCAGTCCCCAATATCCCTAAACCCTCCTACTCCACGCACATCCTGCATTCCTCACCCGGTTTGTCACCAAACACGTTGCCTCATTCTATCCTTAGGAACTCCCCCTCTGTTCCTCCAGCACCTTTCCACAGTTTTAATGGGCAGTGGAAAGATGCTTTGAGGTGCCTGAGCATCAATTATCACAGAGTGTGCACATACATGTGTCTGTGCATGTGTTCTTGCGTTGGATTGACCGTACAGCGCTGGCGTTGTCGTTCAAATTTAACAGTAGCACCAGCCTGAGCACCACCTCACCACTACCCCATGACTTCTCTCTTCATCCCTCAGCTTCTCATTGATTCATTTACATCACACTACACAATATTGTTTCTGCTGCAGGAGCCTGTTGACATAGGCACTGCAAATTCTCTAAATCGGATAGGATCTGTCAGCTAACTGCAAGAGAGTGTGTGTGTGTGTTTGAGAGTTTGTGTCCGCAGTGTGTTACCATGCTCTAGATAAAGATATAGTTTCAAGTGGCCTTGTTGCCCCCCCTTAGTTTGCCATGGATGCAGACAGGCGGGTCTATGCTCTTTAGGCCGAGACTTTTCATTGCCTCAAAGCTGGCACACAGCAGCCTTATGCAGTAAGACAGCTCCATCACTCATAAGACCAAACTCTCTGCCTTTCCCATGGGCTTTTATATGTGATTTTCATATCTTCATTTTTTTGGTGGATTTTTTTATTTTGACAAATTTATACATGTGCAACTTGGTATCTGTTTGTACACATGGTGGTCTCGGCCCATTTTGAGGTTAGGTAGGAGACACAGTGATGGAGATGGTCTTTTTTGAAATGTTATGACATCTGTGACTTGTTTTGTTCAAGAAACAAACCTGCACGAGATAGCATTTGTCTTTTGTGCTAGCACGTCTCTTAAGATATAGTTTTGTAAGATTAAAAAAAGGTGAAACACTACATTCTAAAGTTTCCATGTGAAGTTTTATCAAAGCAGTTGTCGTGTCACACATATCCCTCCGTACTTCATAGAATGTTTTTTAAATTACTTGAATCCATGTTTATTTATAAGTAAAAGTAGCATTTATTTTTTAAATCTCACTTTCATCTCCTGAATATACAGACAGGCACATTTTAAAAACTCTTCTGACTATTCAGACACCTGGAAAAGAAGGAGAAATAAGAAATCCTCAAGGGCTCTATGAAATGTCAGTGTAAACAGCAATATAGATCCATCGCCGGGTGCCTGTTGATGATTTCTTCCTGTTTTTTGTGTTAAATGTTGCTCAATCAGCCCTCTGCTGTATCTCCGTCCTCCTGTAGATTAGCTGGGAGAGTAAATGCACCCTTACTCTCTCTCCTTTCCTTCAAACTGCTTTTGCCTGTTCCAACATTTATTTTTTTTAACATCTTATTCTCCTACCTGCTCATTGTGCAGAGAATGTTTTCAGAGGATTTTTTTTTTTTTATATCCGGGGCATCAAGAAGTTGTTCAGGTGGGACGTGTTGCTCTTGTGTCTTTACTCTTGTCACGTCTGAATCACACACAAACCACAGCATGACTTGTCTGTGGGTGAGATTGTGATGATTCCTATTTTTGCACCATAATAGTGTGTGTGTGTGTGTGTGTGTGTGTGTGTGTGTGTGTGTGTGTGTGTGTGAGAGAGAGAGAGAGAGAGAGAGAGAGAGAGTGTGTGTGTGTGTGTGAGAGAGAGTGTGTGTGAGAGAGTGTGTGTGAGAGAGGACATGCTACTGAGGCGTGTTTATTTTTTTATATTCAAATTCTTGATTTCATCATACATGTTGATATGGTGTCTCTGATTTTGTGAGCGTCAGCAGCCCCCTGGTTGCTTTTGGCTCTCTTGTGGGTTTGGCATTGGACACAGGGTTGCTCTAATGGTTCTCTCTTCTTCTCTCTCTCTTTTTTTTATGTGATTTTGTATTTAGTCCTTATTTAAATGTCACAGCAAAGCATCGTGCAAAGACCAATCTGTGTCCATCTTTATGAGATTTATGTCTTTCATTCGTCCACGTTTGTCATTCAGACAAAAGACCACTGTTTGAGTTGTTCCACGACTGCAACAAACGGAGTGCCTTTATCCCTGTGTGATGTTAGATTAGAGGTTGTTGTTTCTTTCATTACTGAAGCCTGAAGCGTATCGTCCCTGTAAATCAAAAATCAAAGCAGCATTCCACAAGTTAAACCTCCACCATTTTTCATGGGGAACCAAAACAATAGGACTTAAAAGCGAATTCAAAAAAGTACTATTTTGTGTCTTCGCAACTCTTCTCTGTGATTGTCACCAAATGGATGTGTGTATATCTGTGATTATTTATGAATACGGTATATATATTGTACAGCATGATTTTTATTTCGTCTTATTTGAAATGTACTTTTGCACTTTCCAGGTACTAAATTGTAACAAATTGTTTTAACTTGGCTCCCTAATCTGTACAAACTGCTTTGTATACACAAGTGGAAATGATTATTAAAAATTAAAGTCTTGTCTAAATTTAATATAAATGGGTGGCTTAGATATTTACAGTATAAAGAAGAATGAAGAGTGACTGCTTCGGCTAAGGTGAGGAAACAAACGCACGCAGATAAAATCTTAAAGTTTTATTCAAGGAGACAAACAAGAGACTATGTTGTCTGCAAGAGAGATCAAGATGTTAACTCTCTTGTATTTGTTTCTTTGTGGTCTTCACAGAATGATTGGGTACGAGCAGATGGATGCTCTCCTCAGGTCACAGTCAGCAGCCGTCCACCAGCTCTCATCTGCAGAACAGGGTAGGGACAGATTGAATGGTTGGCTTGCCAGACAAAACACATGTTCTTAAGGATATTCCTTAGATCAAGTTTTTAAGAAATTGGTATTTAAAGCGAAGAAAATGGTCAGGACCCTAATAAACTCAGTTTACAGTCTTTCATAATGCATGTAATACTTTTATCCCTGCAGTTATCTGAGCTTAACCCTTTAATTAATAGTCAGCTAAAAGAGTGGTTTTATAACACAAGCACATACCAGAACTTGTAACAACCACATTAACACAACCCCTGATTGTATTGAATTGAACAAGGCTCCTTTTTATTACTAAGACCTCAACTTATAGTTGCACTTCAGTGGCCTCTTTGTCCGATACAGAGAAATGCTGCCTTTGCACATTGGCCGTGTGTGTTTGTGTTGTGTGTGAGTTAGAGTGTGGTCCCACCTATCTGGAACATCTCCAAACAAACAGGTTTGTCACTGCGAATGTTGGGGTGGCCCGGCTTCCAGTCACTGTAACTCCATTCTGAGCCGTCCACCCATGATGCCTTCTGGTTCTGAGGTGGGCAACACGCATATGGTATGTCAAAAATATGTAGACATATAAGCTTGTTTCACACAATTTACAGGAAGCACTCCGATCCTTCACATCAGTAAAAGTAGCAAAGCCTCACTATACTCTTTGATATTTCCAACATTATTGCCCTTACCTTCAAAAAGCTTTGTGTTCAAATTATCAAAAGTAAAAGTACTCAATGTAGGCAGTTAATATTGTAAATTAGTTGTATTTTAATAATTTTGGTAGTCAAGATTGAAATCAGTGTCTCTTGTAACTTGTAACTGATAGTAAATAATATAGTGCATGAAAAAAATATATATATCCCTTCATCATTTTATAGATTAGAAATAAAAAGGCATAAAATTCAGTCCCTTATAATTTGTCAAATTTACAAAAATCTATTTGACTCCAAATAATAGACCTTTTTCCCATTTCACTTTTTTTGCATTCTGGTCTCACTTAGCAACAGGACATAAACATATGGATGGTTTCTAAATAAAAGTTCACAGGTCAATGTTTTACCAAGGTAAGAATAACACTATCTGTCTTGTTGATAACATATCTGATGACACTCTCCTTGGCCTCCATTCAGTGCCACAGGACCAGACTGCTGGTGTCATACTCAGAGAGCCATTGTATAAAAATGGTGATATACGGAAAGTTAACTAAAATATCATGCTATTAATATTTAACACTTCAGAATATGTGTAATTACTGTAACTGTCAGTGAAAATGATCTTGCCTTGATGGTGCCTCCCAGCCAGGTCAACACTGGGTTTTTCTCACCACCCTTGGTCACCAGGGAAACTAGGCGAGAATGCAAATCGCTGCTGGTTACAGATGCAAGCTCAGCATTTGGGGCAAGAGCTCTGCAGATGACCTGGAATAAAAGGACACAGAAAAAAATTGTGAGATTCAATTTGAAGAGTCACAAAGTAGTCTTGCTGTAGATTGTCTAACCTGTGCATCCTGGAAGGCCATTTGTGTGGGGTTGAACTCATAGCAGTTTCCATTGATGACCTCCCCCTTACAAGATACTGTATGTGTTTGGATTCTAGAGGCAGAGGGTTCTGTTCCCTGTCTGGAACCATCTGGGATAGACTTGAAGGGTTCAGTTCCCTGTCTGAAACCATCTGGGATAGACTTGAAGGGTTC